ATGACTTTCACAATCTGTCACTTCTTTGCAAATTGTCTTTCGAAACACTCTCTAATACCTGTTATCAGAAAATTGTTTTGCAAATCAAATATTTTTCTAATATTAGGCAAACATTTGTCTTAAATTTGGAACTCATTTCCAGACATTAATCGATACTATATTTCTGATAAAACACATGATTTTTATTAGTGTTTTTCAATATAAGCTAACATTTATGTCAATATTTAGTTTCAAAATATCAATGTATTGGATACTAACATATATGAATTATATATTTATATTCTTGTTATTTATAATTAGATTCACATATTTATTTCATATGAAACTTTTTAATATGAAAAGAGTTTAAGTACTAGATTCTGGTTACCACTTATGGGTTGAATTGAAATATTTTAAAATTGTAATTTCAAATCAGTTATTATTTGAACACACAAAAATATTTAAATAATTTCAATATTAATATTTCCTTTTGGAATGGCAGACAGAAAGTTGTGTTAAGAATATTGATGTTAAATATTCACTAATTTGTGATGAATTTATGCATTTTAAAAATCATACAAATATCAATATATTACTTATTCTTTTATATTATGAGTTCAGGCGTTGAGTTTGACTTAATTTTGTCACACATTGCAAGAAATGACAACCAAATGATAAAGTTATAAATGAATTTTTAATACCAAAAAGATTGATAAAGATTTTTAAGTAAAATTATTTACCGTTTCGGCTAAAAAATGAAACAAAACACCATTTTTCAACTCAAAATCAATTTTCGAGTATTTATGCGAAGAATTTTGAAACAATTTTTCATATTTCTATAAATTATAGATATTTTCAAATTTTAAATACAATTTTTGATAATAATTTTATTTGATATAAAACGGGAGAGAATTTTGTGGAAGAATTCTACAATATTTGGTCGAATTCTAGACGATATTCTATTCTGTATTGAAATTCTTTGGAAATTTCTATTTTGAATGAAACCCAAAAACCAAATGTATTTATAAAAAGTCAAACGTTCGGAGTTTCACTTTTGAAGGCAACTCTTCAAGGCTTTCAAACCATTTAATTCTGTATTGAAATTCTTTGGAAATTTCTATTTTGAATGAAACCCAAAAACCAAATGTATTTATAAAAAGTCAAACGTTCGGAGTTTCACTTTTGAAGGCAACTCTTCAAGGCTTTCAAACCATTTTTTAAGAGAAAACCTTAAATTTAAACACAAACTCATGTCAATAACATTTTATTCAATTCATTCAAGAATATTCTCTTTTTTAATAATATGTTTTCCGTAATATATCAGAAACATTAGCAAAACAATATATAATACTTTGATATCAATATAAAATACATATTGATTGAAATTCATTTTAAATATATTGATTTTTTGTTTCAAATATCAAACTGAATTTATTTAAAGTGAGAAGCATTGACTCAAAAATATATTCACTGCTATTTTACAAACAATTTCAAATCCCTTTTAAGCCACAACATAAATGTATAACAATTTGTTTTATACAATCATATATCCCTTCCCACTACCGAACCAATAAAGGTTTCGATGGGTGCCCTATGATTATGATAAACATGGAGTTATTGTTTTATTTATGTATTACAGAATAATAAACATTTTTATGAGTTGAGCTGTTATTATATTTTGAAGTAGTTTTCACAGTAAACCCATTCGCAGATGTTTCCAACAAAATGAGTCTTTTCTTATTAATTAAGAATTTAAAAGCAAAACATACCAAACAAACGATTCATTTTTATGAATGTTTCCCATTTATAACCACTGAAAATGAGTTTAATTCAGACTTTTTATTGATTTTCATTGAAATTTCGTGGAATTATTTCGAAAAGAATTGCCAAAAATATAAATAAAATTTGGTATTAAAAAAGACTATTTTGTATTTCATTGGGATTTAGTAGTATTATTATATTTTTATTTGTAGTATTGTGTAAAGTATTATAATAAATGGCTTTGGATTGAATACAATGTATTAATAGATGTCTGGTTTGTATGTATGTTAGAGTCAACGCAACAGAAGGGGTGCTTTGATGGTCTCGTGTGAGAACCTTCTGGCCGACAGTGAGCTCTTCGGGTCACACGAGGGCTCACTGAAGGGCTTCAGAGGTCGTCAACTGGTGAACCGGAAAAGCGGAGGAATATTCTCGAACCCATTCAAAAGCGATGGCGAAAAGATGGACCAATTGACTGATTTGCTGAACCTTTACGGCCAGACGGGAATACCAGAGCAATCAGCACTACTGACGTTTCGCGCCGACAGTGGCAGTGGCGGTGACATTAAGGATATCTATTATCTGGAGGAGCACTGGAAGTCGATAGTAGCCAACAGTGAGGATCTGCCAAAAAAAGTTCAGAACCAAAACGACGCGATTTGGGAATTACTTCAAACTGAAGTCTTTTATCTGAGAAGATTAAAAGTGATTACAGACCTATTCCTGTCATGTCTTTGCAATTTGCAGAGCGAATGCCTACTCAATGAGGTATAGTATGCCTACACTACTCTTTTCACTACTTTTTGCCATCATTTTTGATTTGTGTTTCGCTAATCATTCAATCACTTCATTACTCGTTTACAACTGCGAGAGAGACGGACTCATCATTTGTCAGAATTATGATGTCCTCCAGAATAACACTTTTATTGCTTAAACACATCAATGGTTTGATGATCTATTGAACTCGTGTGCTGTTTAGGCCATTGTTTGAGTGCATCATTAATCCTAATTTATGGCTCCATTTATGTTAAATACTTCTACAGAAATCTCTAGTCTTTGAATTTAATATATATTTAAGCGATTATTACGTGAAATATAAATTATTCTGAGAAACAAAGGGTTTATAAATTTAAAATTGCTTTCATTTTATTGGTTTAAAAGAATATAATCTCATATTAGAAAACAATAGTGTAATTAATAGTTACAAACAGTGCATGTTTTCACATAATTTTAAGAATTAATTCAATAATCAAAATAAATAAATATTTGTATAATTGTTCACATATTTATTTGAAGGAGAGATGGAAAATATAAACATGAAATATATTTTCTATGCATTTAAAAGTTGTGAAATAAATTTATTAATACAGAATCTGCTGCACAGATATTCATATAATTTGATTTTTCATTAAATTGCCAAATAATATTATACAGTATATACAAATAAATATGAATTACATGTTATTATGAATGGATGTGCAATACAGTTAAACTGTAATTAGTGGTCGTATTTTTGTTTCAGAAATTAATTAAAAAGAAAATATCATTTAATAGTGAAATGTTGCGGAAAAGTTATTACAGCTATGTTTGCCGTAAAGCTTACCTTAAGTTTAGTTATATTTATTGATTTGCATGGATTCACATGAATGAGTGACTATAATGTAATATTGAATGCAAACTAATGTTTCTCTTGAATACAATTCTTGAGTCAATAAGACATTAAAGAGAAACCCAATGCTCTGACACTCTGACAGATATAATGGAAAAATCGAAGTGAAGTATGTGTTGGAAAACACAAGTTTTGTAACCAAAATATAATTATCATTACTTATAATGCAAACGGAAATCAAGAAAACGGTATTATTTTAATACTCGATTATAATACCGAAAAAAAGGCACAAAAACTTTTATATAAGACTTATATTTATAAAGAAAAAGTCTTCAGATTTTGAATGCGAAACGTTTTGTTTGATTAACGACTCGCTCGGAGTGTATTCTCAGCAGTATTTGTAGACTATATTATAGTCTAATTTGATACGAAAAGTTGATTTCTAGAAAACTAATAATGCATTTGTAATGCTTTTTATGATTGATTGATAGATCGATACGACAAAGATGTTCAGCAATATAGTGGAAGTGAGTGCTGCCAACCATCAGTTCTGGTTCACTATATTGCTTCCCATGTTATGCCATACCCGAGACACTCATCAGCCCCTCAATCCTCTGCTCATGAAAGACGGCTTTCTTATGGTAAGTCCAGATCGACAGCTGTCTTAACTCCGGTGTTAGTATAGTGATTAATTAATCTTTTATTTCAATGTAATATATGTTATATAGGCTAAGTGTCATGTGTGTGTTATGTACATAATATAACATATACTTATACTCAATGTATTAATACGATAGTATATTATATACAGAATATTGTATACAGAATATACAGAATAATATACAGAATATTGACAATTATTACACTTAACTTAACTTGGGTGTCAAGCTAGTCAATAAGGTAGGTATGCAGTTCATAACGAATCTTGTGTCGTGAACAGAAGTCATGCACTTTCTGTTTGTATTCCTATTACTCGAGAACAAAGCCTATATTGTCGTACGTATTATAGAAGTGTCACATAATTATTGTCAAAATATTATTATTAATGATTGCAAAACATTTTTCATACATTATCTCTGAAAATAGTGGTGCGAAACGCATAAGGATTGCGAGAGATTACGTCTGATGGACTTATTAGTGAAACCTATGCAACGCTTAACCAAATATTCATTACTTCTTAAGGCTATACTCAAGAAAACGGATTCCGAGGAACAAAAGCTCGCCCTAAAGAGAATGGTATTTCATATAAGCATTTCATACTATTTATTAATATAAAAAATTTCAAATAACTTTACAAACAAACAACATTCTTGGACTTTATTTTAATAATATTTTAATTTCTTTAAGAGTTTCAGCTTTTTATGAGAAAATATTCAATTTGTTTTGAAGTTATTCTTAGTTTTTTATATAATAATATTTTATACCAGAATTTAAATAAATATATATATATATATATATATATTTATATATAAATATAGCGACTCATGTATCTGAATATAGCTTTAGATCGCTTTATAGCGACTCATACAATATGTTTGATATATGGGCTGATAGACCATATTAGACGATATTCCGTGATATAAGTTAGTGTATTGACTGCATTGACACAACAATAGCCATACTTTATAGAGAATCTACTTATATATGAAATCTGTTGTCAGAATGAATGTGTGGAGCGTTTTGTGTATGGAGTCGATGCCACTCTCCGTCGACAACACGAACAGCAGAAGTTGTCGTCTATAGTGACCCGAATCGAGAGCTACGATGTGATCGATTGCAGCAATGATGAGGCAGAGAAGGTACACCTCATAGACCCCATGCACCTGACAGACACACACTATTGAGATTGACATTTGAATAATTGACACGAATTTGTTTCTCTTTTTCTTACCAAAGCTTCTCAAAGAATACATTCATTTGGATTTAACGCAACCAATGAGTGGTTGTTCTCCTCATTTCATAAGACATTTATTAGTGGAGGGATCTCTCAAACTGAAGGACTCGCTCGCCAGCAAAGTAGACGTTCACTGCTTTCTGTTCACTGATTTACTCTTAATATGCAAATCAGTGAACAAAAAAAGTGGTGACAAAGTGCGAGTGATTCGCCAGCCATTCATAATTGATAGGGTAGTCACTCAAGAGCTGAAAGACGGCACCGGTTTTGTACTCTTGTATTTGAATGAGTTTAGAGTCGCAAACGCTTTACTCATTCTCTACTCGAGTGACACCAAGACATGGATTGATTACATCAGGAAAGCTCAGGATCTCTACAGACACACCAAAAACATTTCGATCGCATCGGAGGCACAGGAAGTGACATACTTTCGCACTCTGGAGGACGACGAGGACTACGAGTTCCCATCGATGGCACTGTTGGCCGCATCCCCTCGCAGTTCGAGCCGATCCTCACTCGTTCACTCCCACAGCGGATCCGTTGACATGAGTGACACCACATCCAGTGGCACCTCCCTGGCAGTGATAGCACCCGTACCCACACCCAACTATCTCCAGAATCCAGATCATGCACAACAGCCCCCTCGAGCCGTTAGCTTTGAATTGGGAGAACTCCGAAATCCAAGTCTCAATGTCGACGACTCGGACTCTTTTGGTAGATCTAATAGTGTTGACAATCGATCGCCGGTTGCGGTGACCATCACATCTCCCCGACCGGAAAGGCGTGCGTTTCTGTTGAGAAACGTCAAGAATAATAGCCCTATAATTACCCATCAGTACAGTCTATATCCAAACACTTTATCAGTGAACGTGCCATTAGGTTATCATCCTATGAGTGATTACAAGCAAAGTCTTAAATCTCCGCCATCTGTACCATCCATTCAAATACCCGTTCATTCGTCGCCAACAAAACTCATCACTCCATCGACTGTCCGCTCACTACCTCCACGTCCGACATCACCCACAATACTGAGTCGTTCCCTAGCATTGAATGCAAATAAGCCGCCACTCATTAAAACTAAGAACATATCGGGTTTACTGACCCAATCGGCGCCGGCCAGTGAGGGGCCATCGCCTGTACATAGTATTAATAGCGATGCAATTATCGATAGTCTGAAACAACACTCGTCTAAATCGGACGAAACCATCGACACAACCCTTGAAAACAATTTGGACGACTCGGAAGCGCTGAAGGGTCGCACAAATCAGAAGAGGACGGGTAGGGCTGAGCGCCGATACCATACGGCGGACTCGATAGAGCATATGAAGAAGGAGAAGGACTCGTCGATCCACAAGAGGTTGTCCTGGAATTACGGCCAACAGAGCGGCCAAACTCACGGCCATTTTCGGTAAGGGAGCGTAACGCTTGCGTAAGATACGTTGTTTGTGAAGTTATTTACGAACTCAAGACTCAGCCAGATGTCAAGGTCACCAAAGTCATCGTGACCAAGACACGGGAATTCACAGCCGTGTTCTGAGTGCGAACAGTGCGGCGTTGAGATACTCGACCACATCCAGGAAATGGATGGATATTCCGATTCACCCGCTGTTACGCCCAACCATTTCGACGACCAAACCCTGCATCAGTCCGATGAAGACCAAACAGTCAACTCTAATCTCAATATTAATGAATCGGACATTAAGATCGATATCAGCGAAGTCAAAGATGGCATCTCTTCCGTTCAGATCCGAGTCAGCGGAACACCCATTCAGGCGAAGCCATCAAAGGCTGATCTCAAAAAGATGAAGGAATTCCTGCTGACAAACCATACCGTCGAGTCGTCGTAAGAATACCACTATTCTTATATTCAATTCAATTATTCATTTTTAATGTATTTTTAGATAGTTTTGTGTAAACAAGTCTAAAGAATAGACGATTGAATAATAGATTTAATTTATCGATATATAAAAATGAAATATTTTGGAGGTTTTAGTCGCAAATCAGGAGATATAGTATAGTACTGTATAAAAGTGATGATTGATTTCAATTTAATTCTTTCTGTTAAACTATTGCCAAATTATGTGAAATTTATTGGTATTTATAAAAGTATACACTTTTTTCTTGCAATTTATGGTAGGAATTCTTGTGACTTATTTTTTATTAATATCAGAATAAGTGGAAAGCATATGATAGTGTAGTATAGAGATCCTCCCATCCCTGTAATGCCTTAACCCCCCTTTCACTCGAGTTTATAACTCGATTACCAGCAATACTATTGTTGATGCCATTCATTAATTCCTATTATTTGTGTGACACATATAGCGAGGTTTGAGCCCATTATCTGATGATCAATGAGATTGTGATAAATTGATGTCTGGATAACAAACAACTCGTTTCACGTTAGAAAATGAGACGAAAATTTTGTCAATTCATTGTCGGAATACGCGATGTGGTCAACACATCAACACATGATTACGGATTCATAATAAATGATTCATTGATTGAATGGCTAATGTTATTAGTAATGGATATTAATTTCTCCGAAAGCATCGAATTAAGACATGAATCCCATTGCGAGAGAAGACCCGACACTTTATGTGTGAACTGTTGTGTAGCACACAGTCCTACAGTACATACAGATTCTGTAATACAGAATATGATAGACTAAACAGATGTCCTCCACCACCGCAAACATCACTGCTATATATACTATCACCTAATCTGTCCATTCCTTACACTCAACCTCACATGTCCTCATACATGTCCTCATATGTATGTCCCACTTATGTCCGATATCTCATAGAAGGGACATTGCAATAGGAATTTGACACTAAATCGCTATTCTGTTTAATGCATTCATGTTAATATTTATATCAATTGTTAAAATTTTTAAGAATAATTATAATACATCAATTATATGAAATTGTAGTAATTGTATAGCATTTAAACAAAATCATTTTGGCTAATCTGATATAGTCTACTATAGGGTCCACTATTTATCACTTAACCACTATCGTAGAATTAGGTTCAATCAAAATAATCGTTATTTCATTTGATTTGCAATATTTGACAATATATTTATAATATGCTATGATATTATATTATTGATTTATAAAAACATTCACATTTAATATACTGTATTTGAACATATAGTTATTTTATTTGTCATAATTTAATGTAAATTTGTAGATATTTGAAAATAACATGTAAATTTATTATTATTATTATTACAATATTATTATATTATCTATCTTTAAGTTTATGTTTATAATTCATTTCATATAATGAAATGTTTGGTAAGATTTTATTTTCAGACTATAAAACATTCATATTATATACATAAGAGTAACATAATTTGAAGTGAGAAATATATATAATTTTCTAAAAATAAAAAATATTTTAAAAATTACTACAATGAGTCAAAATGAATTCTTTGAATAACTTATTAATAAAATGTTTATATAATTAAATTAGTTTAGATTAAAGCTATGATAATAAAGCTATGTGTGCTAAAATTGTAAGCTTTTATTTTCTAAAAACTAATGACAATAAAAATAGTTTTGATTGCGGATCAGAAAAGTTAATCTTATAACTAATTTTGTCAATTAGTAGTAGTATTGTTTGGTGTGATATTAATTTAGAGAATTGCTTTCTTAGATTTGCTATAAGTATGAAACTTATCGGGTACAATCTTATTGTGTTCAGTGCTGTTCACACATAAAAGCTCGTTATATTTGATGATTGAATAGTTTTAGTCTTAAATTGATATCAAATTTATTATTTTCTGCTGAGCTATTGAAAAGTTATTCAATTTTCAATTTGTTTTGACTGATTGACTGTAACCCAATGTTTGAACATTTATATGATTTGTATAGTGATATCGATTTTTGCTTAACATATGCCTTAGAAATCAAAATATTCTTTCGTTTTTTGTTGTGCACTTTAACTGTAGGACTACTCATAAGATATAAAAACAAAATTTTTGTAAAAATTCATTGCAATTTGATCTCAAAATTAAGACAAGATTGCTTTGTATTTGATTTATTGATTAATACATATATTAGATCTCTGGTCTAAATTGAGATCAAAGTCAAGACTAGAATAATGGTATTAATGTATTATATTATTATGATGTCATAAATTTATGGAAATTTTATTAGAGTTTTTAGTGCCTAAACATTCAAAACATTGTATAAATTATTCAAATATTGATTTCCAAATGAAAAATAAGAGATTTTATATAAAGTTATTTTCAAACTATTATTTGTGTCAATCATTTATTATTATTTTTAAAAATTAGATTAAATTCTCGTAAATTTAAAAGAATTTCTAACCAAATTTAATGAGCACTTTGTATATAAATATAAAGTAATTATTATTAAAGTAAACAAGAATTTCATCAATTTCACTATAAATCGATACAAATGCGTGGGAATAGTATGTATTATTTACACCTAAATAATACTTAAACGTATAATTTTCACAACTTGTTCACTAGTGAATAGAGTTTAGTTTTAAATGTAATATTTTAGCAGAATCTAATGACTAACACATTTTAAGTCAATATTTTAGTCAATAAACATTGCCTTTAGTATGAAATTCATACTATGAATGCCAGGAATATAAGGCAAACACAGCTTAATAACCGACTCGTCGCTCATTTATTCAGTGGAAAGGGATGATTGTGTTGTGAATTGGGTTTTGTTGTGTGAGAATCGCACGGCTGAAGGGCTGTGCTGATAGCCTGTCATTCATTGACTCAAAATTATTACTTACTATTCATACTTTTGCATACATCCAGGCGCTGCTTAAGCTTTACGTTACGAAACAACTGCTAAATTCTCGCAGAATATTCTTTGCTAACATTTTTAAAGTGATTATCGATTGAATACGTGAAATATAATTTCTTAAGTAAATGTTTTAACTCACAAACGACTTATACAGTAATTTTCAACCAAATCAATTATATTGAAAAACTTTAAAGAATAATATTTTAAATCCTTTTTAGATTTTGAATTCATTACGGAATTTGATTCAAAATAATCTGTACATAATTGCTATAATAATAGAGCTTTTATATGGGAATAAGTTGTACAGTATATCAGTCGTGAGAATATTATGTGCAAAAAGACTATAAAAATCTTTTATGAATTATTGAAGAGTCGATATCTCTATAGATTTATTTAGATTTAATAATAAATATGATATCAATTTGATTCTGTGACCAAAAATTCAAATGCATAGAAATATTGGGATTTTGTTTTTTGTTGTGGACAAGATTGCATTCAGATATTAATTAGTTTTCATTATATTTTATATACATTGTATATAAACATACAAATTCGTTATTCTGTGCCTCTTTATGAAGATAAATTGCATTGAATTGGGAACTCATTTATAATTTAGTATAACTTGATATTACAATTAACTAAGGGTTAAGGGTTGTATTAATATAGTGGAAACAACTTATTCAATGAAATCTTAATAATAGAGTCGTCTTTGTTGAGGAAAATCTCATAAAAATTTTAACAAATGTATAACTTTTTGTATTATTCTTTTCATTATTCTGTTAGCATTCGTGTCTATCTATCGATTAAGACATAGTCTCGCTATGAATGACATACAGTATAAACATTACATGAGATAACTCTCAAAGAAAGGCCGCAATAATTACTCGCAAAATAAATCGCATTTCAATTCAAAATCACTTTTAAACCAAACTGACTAATGAATGTAAAAATGTTTTCAAAATTAATCAAATTTTATCACTAATTATGACGTTTATTAATAAATATCTCATTTAATCTCGCTTTAAACATAATACGAAATTTGTTGCAAATTTCATTAAATATTTATCATATATAATACCAAATTCGTGGCATTCAGTGCAGTAACGGCTGGAGAAGTCATTAAGATTTTGCATGGCTTGTAGGCTCACCTAAACTCATAAATAGAGTGTATCTTATGGTATCATTTAGGCGATGAACACATTTGTATGAATAATATGAAAGAAAAAGTCAATCAAAAATATGAAATAATAACTAAATATTATTATTGCAGCAAAAAAGCTTATAATTAAATATCAAAGATTATAATATAGTATTTTAACAAATACTTTCAAATAATTAATATTAATAGTAAATTTAATTAAAGTAAAATTGTCTCAACAATTATGACAATTAATGGTAATAATAGGTTTTAATTCGAAAATCAATAGTTGTTTCAGTTATTATTGTATATAATAATAATAATCATAATTATATAATAGATTAGAAAACTCATAAATTAAAAGGAAAACAGAGATTACACATCAAATCAACAAATTAATGCTAATATCTCTCAACACATGTATCAGTGATTTTCACGTTTAGATCCGATGAGAGAAAAACGTTTACTTCAAAAGCTATTAAACAAACTCTTGAGAGTAAGTGAAGGACAGGAATGCTATGAGAGATAAAGAGATGGCACGAAATGTCTTTAGTTGTCACTTATGAGGTCGTTGTCGTTGGGGTGGGAGTCGATGGCGAACTGCTATTATTGGCCGCACTATTGTTGCTATTATTGGTATTGTTTGAGTTGTTCTGCTGCTGTTGGGCCGCCCATTGAGCGGTCAGTTGTGTTCCCCTGAACTGAGGCGCCGCCACCTGAACGGGGATTAGTTGTATAGTTGCCGGTCCTTGAGATGTATGGATTGTGGTGGCGATGTGTTGTTGCGCCAAATTGGCCGCATTGGCCACGTTGTTGGCATTCACGTTACGGCTGCCCCGACCACCACTACCTGTGCTCGGATTCGTGTGAATCCGTCGGTGACGACCTGTCATTCAAATGGATTGCTATTAAAATACAATTCTCGAGTGAATCAATCATTTGGTGTATAAGTACTGAGTTTGTCCTTCCGGTAGAAGCCTCGGCCGCAGTATTCGCACGGATACGGACGCTCTCCCGTATGAATCATTTGATGCCTTCGCAAGTGATTCTTCTGTGAGAAAGATCTGCCGCAGACATCACAATGGAATGGCTTGTCTCCTGTGAATGGCAACACATGATCATCGATGGCAACACATTATCATCGATGACAAGACACCATCGGAGTACTGACCGGTATGTGTGCGCATGTGATCCAGAAGTTTGCATCGGTAAGAGAACCCGGAGCCACATATCTCGCAGGAGCAGGACTTCTCTCCGTGAGCGACCCGCACGTGGATGCGTACCCTCTCGGCGCTGGCGAACAACTTTCCGCATTGATTGCAGGGAACGCTCTTCTCTTGTTTGGTGTGATTACTGGCAATACATTAATATTAACTCAACGCAAACAATGTCACCGAAAGTACCTGAGATGGGCCTGTAGTTCACTGGCACTCTTGTAGGGTATCTTACAGGCAGGACAGGGCCAGACAGTGGCCGTCGTGTTGTTGCTGAAGGACACGGAGCTAACATTGCGCACCTGAGAGGCGGCCGAAGCGGTGGCCGGTATGAGGATAGCGTGTTGTTGTTGCTGTTGGGGCTGCAGGTGCTGCTGCTGTTGCGAGTTGTGCTGCAATGGGTTGCCGGGGAAGGCGATGGCTGTGGTGAGGAGGTGTGGTCCCGGCTGTGTCTGCGGGTTCAGTGTCTGTTGAGAGCGCTGTTGTTTAATCTTAGAGTTGCTGTGCTGTGAGTGCTGTGACTGTTGTGATGACTGCGAGTGTGCTTTCGATTGACTACTGGTGTGCAGCATATCATTGACCGTCGACTGGGACTGAGGTTGTGGCACGTGATGGATGAAGTTGGCGATGTGCTGCCGGGGGTCGAACCCTATGGGGGTGGGGGTGGACATACACCACACCATTAGCATTGAATGAGCTTATTTAAATGGGTGTCAGTGGAGGGGATTACAGTCATACACCTCGAGTAAGTTAATGTCAATTCATTCAAAATTGCATACTTGTGTTCAGTTTACTATTTTTATAACCCATTAGACCGGGTATAATCAAATTTAAAATGTGCTGTATCATTTCCCCAGTATTGTGGTTTATGTGGGATTAACAAGTTTGAGAAATTGTTACTCAAGAGTTGGTCAAACTGGTGATAACCACAATATTTGTCATTTCATGTTTAATTGTTAACAAATGTTTACTACTTTAAGTGGGCGGAGGGAATCGTATCCTATCTCAAAGACATTAAGTTATATAAAGGTTACTAATACTTATGACATTATTAAATAGTACATATTTTTAATCGTACGATTTATAAATTAATAGTAAATAAAATTAACTTATTTTATGCACCATTTGATACAGAATTCATGTTATATGAATAAAAAATTGTTTAATTCTATAATAACAAATAGTATCAGGCAGATCTCAGTATTTGACAGTGGTTAAGTAATTTCAATTCTTACCCTAGATTTAGTATTCTTAGATTTACAACCAGTGATATATCAACACATTTAATCGATAATAACCTGAGTTACAGGTTTTACACTATTTTCTAATGATAAGAAGCAGTCTTTGAGAGACACTAAGCCCTAAGACTGGGAGACAATGTTTAACCTTCGAAGCAAAACAAAGACCATTATCTACGGCTATATTGATGACTGAAATGGTAAACCAAACGAAAACTACGGCATATAAGAGATCTACTAAATGGTGACAAATGCTATAAAGTTTGAAAAAAGTTAAAAATTGTTTGGAAAGGCATTGGAAATAATGATTGGATTTGATGTCTGCATGTCGTTCACGACTGCTATGTCTAACACTACCACTGCTATGACTGCTATAGCATTGAGTCCCCCATTGTTGCAGTGATTGCCCTACACTTCAACCCCCAAAACAGAGTCGACGGTTTGGGCGCCTTTGGAGGCCTCCCTTGCCGTGGGGGTGGGGTGTCATTGGACGGGCACTTACCCGGGAAAGCAGTGGTGGCCGGGAAGACAAACGCTGGCGTACAGACCACTTGTTCGGCCTGTTGTCCACTACTTTGTGAGGCAGTCCCACCACCTGAAGCCATATTAGTTTCTTTGTTGAGCCCCTGTATAGGTGTGACAACACATGCGTCCACAACACCACCACAGCTACAGTTCCCCTGCATATAGCATACCAGTGCCCATCCACTACAACCATCCCTATACGGCCCAACACACTGACCACCACTTCGCGGGTCATCCTATCAGTGGTTGCACTCAATTCACTCACATTTGCTAATACTTTGCACACAACGAGACATTTGATATGCATTTCAATGAACCAAAGGTCCGACACATGCAGTCAACCCATAAGTGGTGTTCAGTGTATGTGTTGTGCAAAACATACTGTTATTGCAATTGACATGCATTTCATAACACAAACACTCATTGAGTAAATCATTCACAACTTTGTCGACCACTACATCTGGTTCAAGCATTTATGCGGTCATCCCAATCCCATCCCAATCCCATCACACTTTTGATGCTTTTCTAGATTTGTAATCAACTCCTCGTATAAGACATTGAATTTCCAAAGTTTCGGACTGACAACCGGTTCTTTACCCGTTTTTAAGTAGCGTTCTCAACAGCCAAACCTTCTTTTACAACTGTTAACCATCGTTTACCCTCCTGTTTCATGGTGTTCTTACGGTGGTGAACTCATAACCACTTGTATTGATATCTTGATGTGTTGATTGCTTTTTAGGACCAGTTCTTAGATGTAATCTATTGGGGCCGACAGTTATTGGCTATACTTATGGGTCTAATTTGGGGTTATCTGGGTATGCATTCACTGGACACCACTTGACACCATATTATCCATTGATTCACTGATTAATGGTTTCATTGTTTGAATCTTAAGGATTGACTGGAATATTAGGATTAAGTTCTTTCGTGATCTCCAACTCAATCGCTGTTTATATCTATTCAAGTAATGTCTGAATATTGTTGTCATATTTGGCGATCAAATGATTAATTGTGTTGATTATGACCCAAATATCAGTTAATTTTAATGTCGAGAACGACGATGTGATGCAAGACGTGAAGGAAGGCTTTATGACATCTTTCGCCTCATTCCTGGTATTCATTTCATAAACCAATTGATTGTTGTTTTCCTGAATCAACTAATTGTGTGTTTCTCTCATTTGTTTGCTGTGAAGGTGTCGTGGATTTTGATATACTCTGCGCTTTACTTTTAATATATTTTAATATACAGTATATAGATGAAAACATAAGTAGGGTATTGATTTACCAGTTATCAAAACATTTCAAACGTTAATAAAAGTGGTAAACAAAATTTGTAATTATATTCTGTAGATTTGCTCTTTTTAGATAAACAAACCAACATTTGGCTAATAAAATATGAAATTAGACTCATTTTGAATTGAGATTTGTTTGTTAAGTTTGGGATCAATTTGACAGATAATAGTGTTGTTTAAAGTTTAAAGGGAAGGCGAGAGAGTGAGGGCTGGCATACTGTATGAGCTCAGTTTGGACAGCAATGGACTCATTGAGTGGTGAACTATACTAAACTAATTCAATAGACATCTAATAGTGAATTGATTGAATTGGTGTCCCAATAAGCACTGAATGATTGCTATTTAAAAATCCAGTAAATTATTATAACCGGCATTCAATTGCATTGCATTGAGTTGTTCGCAGTGATTGGCTGTGCAGTGCATGTTGACAGAGAGTGAACTCTGGGGACAATCGGCACAACTGCAGCATTGAAAGCGATGTTTGAGTTTTTCATGAAAACGCATTACAGTATTGAATGCTGTGTGAAAGCAAACGTATTGTCGTATTGTGTTATAATCGGTGCGAAAATGGCGACAAACAACATATTAAACGCTATTTTAATGAATAACCACTCGATTAACGCCAACAACAAATCTACTTTTGTATTCATCCCATAACTAAATGGTCAATAGTTTTGTAAAGTTTGCAATTATTTTCACCATTTGTTTTAAACATTAATATAAGACATCTAAACGAGAAAAATCTATTTGTTTGGTTGTGTTTGGCTAATAAAATATGAAATTAGACTCATTTTGAATTGGGATTTGTTAAGTTTGGGATCAATTTGACAGATAATAGTGTTGTTTAAAGTTTAAAGGAAAGGCGAGAGAGTGAGGGCTGGCATACTGTATGAACTCAGTTTGAACAGCCATGGACTGATTGAGTGCTGAACTACTGTATACTAAACTACTGCAATAGCCATCTAAATTGAATAGTCAATTGATTGAATTGGTGTCCCAATAAGGACTGAATGAGTGCTATTTAATAATACGGTACATGTAATACGGTACGGTAATACAGTATCAATAGTAATACAACCGGCTTTCAATTGCATTGCATTGAGTTGCTCGCAGTGATTGGCTGTGCAGTGCATGTGAACAGAGAGTGAACTCTGGGGACAATCGGCACAACTGCAACATTGAAAGCGATGTTTGAGTTTCAGTGAAAACTGCGTACAGTATTGAATGCTGTGTGAAAGCAAACGTATTGTCGTATTGTGTTATAATCGGTGCGAAAATGGCGACAAACAACATATTAAACGCTATTTTAATGAATAACCACTCGATTAACGCCAACAACAGTGCCATGAATAGCACCGATAGTAAGACAAACGCCAATACCAGTGATAAAAGTAAAGCCATATTCAGACATGTGGTCATATCACTGGAGAACTGTATACTACCTCAGCAGCAGTTATCGCAAACACCATCGATGACCGATGGCCTCGACTACGACCACGAGTGCGACCTCAGGATTCTTGGCTGCGAACTCATCCAGACGTCGGGCATTCTTCTGCGTCTGCCACAGGTTTGTCTCATTGTGTCCATTGAGTATTGTGATGGTATAACTGATGCGGTTTCAGATGGCGATGGCAACGGGTCAGGTGCTGTTCCAGCGATACTATTACTGCAAGTCTTTGGTGCGGTTCCCGATGGAGGTGACGGCCATGGCTTGCGTGACACTCGCCTCGAAGGTAGAGGAGGCGCCCCGAAGGATACGCGATGTCATCAATGTTTTCCATCACATGAAACAAATCCGTTCAGAAGTGTATGTATTTGTCACTCATTTAGTCTTCAGTTATCTTTAGTTTAATCTAATTGTGATATAAAAAGAGTTTATTTTGTGAATGTTGTGGCACTTGATCTGAACGGTGGACACAATCAATGTGTCGATTGTGACGAATAAGTGCTATATTAAGGCGACTCTCAGTAACTACTCTTAGTTTACGTCTTCATATATCGTTTTAAGAGATTTAATGCGAGTTTACACCACATTTACAGTGACGCCAAACCACTGGTTTTGGACGAGTCGTACATTTCGACCAAAAATCAAGTCATTAAAGCCGAGCGAAGACTTCTCAAAGAACTGGGATTTTGCGTTCACGTCAAACATCCGCACAAAGTATTGATTTTAATTATTATTCATTTTTTTAATGATTTGTTGATAACCTTTAATCTAATGATTGTTTGATTTGATGACAAGTTTATCGTAACTCTTCTGCAAGTGTTGGACAACGAGAAGAATGAGCGACTGATGCAGACTTCGTGGTAAGGAATCATTTCTATTCATTTATAACACTTTATCTAAACGTTTTGGTTTTGAATGCATTAAAACTAATATTATTAATGAATTTGATTTAATTTAAACCACAATTCTCTTACTTATAGTTATATATGAGAAATACTTTTAAAATTATTGATAGCATTAATACGATAACAAATTCTCATCCAATTCTCATGTATTTGTTTGTTTGAAACAATTGTTGAGTCGATTGAATGAACAATAATTAGCGATAATTACGTAATGGAGACGAGAATTGGATAGATATATGAGTTGTTATCAGTAATGTTGACTTAATTTCCCAATTGATCTCGATATTAATTGTCTTTTAATTTGTTGCCTAACTGTATATTAGGTGATGATTAGGTAAGTAAGCCTTCTATCGATTCCTGACAAATGAATGCCTGGAATCAGGAAATGCCAAGTCTTAGCCTCAACTCAGGAGTGAGAGAGTAAGCCCTGCAAACCCTTCCATACCTTAAACGGTATAACCATTTAACGATGGACTCCGTTATTGTCTCAACCCATGTGTCAATACATTGATTGATGTATTAAACTATTGATCCCATGATGTGGTGATATGATTGTGAGTTATTAAACGCAGCAAAAGGTAATAAACCTTTGGTTTCGATGCTTTCATTGTTCGCATCATTCAAATGACATTTAAGAAGATTTTATAAGTCTTACAGTTTTCCCATCAAAAAAGCATTCAGTTTATGGATATATGACTTGAATTACAACTCAAACCACCGCAAGATTGTAACGCCAATGAACGGTGATTTCCATTGTGTTAATCATATTATTAACTATCGTTTTAGATCTGACCATCAGATCATCCGATGCCAACTCATGTCATTCATCATCGGTGATGACATTTGGCACTAAATCTGTGATGTGTTGGACTAATATTTGCTGATTCTTTGGAAGTGCTGTGTGTCTCAAAATTGAGCAAAAAAAGTGTTTTGTTTTGTTATAACCAAAAAAGTGGACAATTATTGCTATTTCAATGTAAATCAAGTGATTGCCTGTTATTTGAAGTTTGCAGAGCTTTTCTTTCGCTCGTGTGTTGGCTGAGCTTTCCTGAGACCAATCGGCCATTGATTTCATGGACACGCCTTAAGACTCAATTAAATCTATTCATTAATCTAATTGTCGTTTTATTGGCATTCAATCGTTCCAGTTGTCGGTAATTATTGTCGAATATCTAACCGTTTGCTTTCGTTTACAGGAATTATATGAATGACAGCTTAAGAACCAATGTATTCGTGCGCTACTCACCGGAAACCATTGCCTGCGCCTGTATTTACCTCAGCGCCAGAGTCCTTAAAGTAAGCCATTAATTGGCGTCCATTACGGTATGTTTTAACCTATTTTCTCATCGAAAGGTTCCGCTGCCGAAGAATCCCAATTGGTTTGAAGTGTTCAACGTTTCCGAGGATCAGTTAAAAGACATCTGTATTTCAATACTCAAGCTCTACGTGAGAGCCAAACCTAATCAACAAAAGTTGGAGTCTATTGTTGAGAATTTGCGCAAAACGTACGAAAACGCGAGATTGAAGGCCAAGGAAGTGAATGTTTTGGACAACGGAACGCCCACTTCCAATGGCATGGAAGTGAGTCCCGCCTCCAGAACCAATTCGCCGCTAACTAAGCCTAAAGTGGACAACAGTTCGCCTAAAAATAAACTCAAATCCATTACATCTGTTATCAGTCATATGTCGAGTCCTAATAAGAAGCGGACGAACGACTCGCCCCGTAATGAAGGCCGGAGTCGATCCAAATCGCGAAGTGTTAGTCCAATAAATAGAGATAATTATGACAGGAATAGGGAGAGGGGTAGGGATGAGAGGAACCGGTCTCCCCCTAAATCATACGCATACGACTATTCGAGATCCCGTTCCCGATCGCGAGAGAGGAATAGTCGACATCACAAGCATAAGAGAATTACATACAGTCGAAGTAAAAGTCGCTCTCCCGTTCCCCACACCAGACACCACAACCACACCACTAAACATCACTCCTATAGCCATAATAACAGGAAGTCTCGCAAGAGATCCAAATCTCCGTATTATAGAGCAGACGATCGCAACACTTATCACTCGAGATCGCGAAGGAGTCGATCGCGCGATCTCTACGTTCACCGAAGAAGTTAAGCCATCAATAAATAGACAAATGGATAGAAAACTAAGCAAACGAGCGATACGTTTATTTTTTTACTATAATTACAATTTAATGAAAGTTATTCCAAATGATGGATAAAATTATTTCAATTATTTATATATATATTATAAAAACAATTCATTTGTAATATTCGACAATCGAATCGATAAATTCATTTATTATAAGGTTTACATAAATGTTTGCTTTATTTTGTAAACTAAATAAACTTTTATTAATAAGTCATTCATGCGTTCACTTTATTTATCATCTCTTTCGCGACCGCAGTCTCGATGATTGGGCTGTCCTTCTGGTGGCAACGGCGCCGCTGCCCATAGAGAACAGGGAGGTATCACTAGAAAACATGGGGGGGTTCTGTGCGGGCGCGCCAAACGTGGGCACAGCGCCCGCACCGAAAGGCATCGCACTGTTGGCCCCGATTTGACTAAAGTTTGGGATTGAGAAGGGAGTCGACGACGAGTGCTGTGGAACTGTTAACGAAGATGACGTGTTTGATGAGCTCAATGATGGCGGCGCCGTTGGTGTGGAGGTAGTGCTGAGACCGTTAAATAAGTTATTTGACAGATTGAAGGTGAGGGCACCTGTAGTTGAATTTGATGTCAGACTGGTGTTACTCTCAATGGGTTTGGCGTCAAATTTGAATTGAAAATCATTGGCCGATGTTTTGGCGACCGATGTCAGGATCGGTGTCGGCGTCGAGAACGTCGGTATGGCGACCGATACTTCAGGCGAATTGGGCGCTGAAGTCATGGAACAATTGGCCACATTGTCGGCAGTTATCTTCTGTGGACTCAATGACTCTATGTTTGGAGATGTGGTCAGTACTGAAGAGATGGGAGTATTGAGAAGAGTTGTCGTGACATTTGTCTCGATGCGAGTGTTGGTGAAAATGGCTGCCGCGGGAACTGATGGCAAACCTATTTCTGATGAACTCAACGGCTCTTCTTTAGTGGTTTGCACTGAAATGGTGTCACTCTTAGGAGACGTCACCTCTTTAACAGCATTCAGATAACGATTCAATCGATTTCTGGCTTTATGTCGATCTCTTTCGTGATCTGCCATTGAATGCAAATTAACGGGAACTCCGAATGACTTCTTTGCGACACTGTCGTCCACTTCGACTGATATTTCGCTCAAAGTGTTTGTCATTGAATTGGTTATCTCTGTGGCAGTGATAGCAGTCTTGGGCTCCAAATCCAATGCTGACGAGTCTTCTAATAAACCCCTTTTGGTCTTAACTTCTGTAGACTCGACCAAATCGGGCGATAATTTGCGTTTAGTTTTCGACAGGTTTTGAGACATATTTTGAGGCGTTTTCGCCGAACTATAAGAACTAAAGATTTCATTATTTTTGAACCGTTTGTGCATTAGAGCGGTTCCGTCCACTGTCTGGCGTTTAATTGGCTTCTTGTTTGGCTGCGGTATCAAACCGTTTGGTACTTTCGGGACATTCAGTGAATCGCGTTTCGCCTTCTTATTGGTCGACACTCTAATGCTGTCCTCCGTTTCCGACTCAGGCTTTTGTCCGCGTTTTCTCTTCAGCGCCTCTGCGATGGACTTCGTGTTTGACATGAGATGTGTGTTGGCATTGAACCCAAGGGTCGAGTCTAGGCTGGAGTTCATACTTGATATCCGAGTCAACGTGTGTTTGGCCATATTCTGAGGCATCGGTGCTATCCTGACGGTGACCGGCTTTTCTGACGGCGCCTTTAGTTTGAGCTCATGAGTGCGAGGCTCAGAGGCACCGGACGTGAGCCTCACGTACGGAATGTTTCCCAACTGAGAGATCGGTGACTCTCGAGTAGGCCTATAAGTGGCCGCAGAATACATATCATTGTGTGAGAGGGGTCTCCAAGAGGTCGATGGCTGACCACTCGCTGTCGCACTCATGAGTAGATCGCTTTGCGTAAAGTAATTAGCGTTCAATGGATTGGTTAAGTAATCGGACACATAATTGTCAACAGTTCTCGTGTAAGACATCGGCAAATGTCTTCGCGCGGTCTTAATGTGTCGGACACTAGGGTTGGGACCAAACCTGTTGTCGATTGTCATGAGTTGACTGTTCTTCGGCTTTGTCTTGTGGCGCAACACGTGATCGGCGTTTGAGTTGCGCTTAAAGTATTGAAATTTGAGAAACAAGAAGATCGTGAAGACGAGGGAACAGATGAACACCAGAAGCGGTGACCAAAACAGGAGGACTGCCATCAGAGCCAAGAAGACCGACACAAGCGTTGCGTCCAATCGGCCAAACATTGTGTCCACGAATACCTTCAATGGGTTCACTGATAATCACATGAAATCACATTTTGTCACAAATATAGCACTCAATAGACATAAACAACGATATGAATGCCGTTTGAAAGGAAATTAGCGGTGATTTGAGAACTCAATCAAAAATGAGTGCAAAACATGTTTTTCACATCAATTTGGTCTAAGGTTTGCATTTCGTATTCATTTCGATATCGATATCGATTTAGACACTCATTGCACGCTATATTGCTATCACACGTGCGCCGCAAACACCACTCACGAGGGTTTAACACTCAATCGCTAACCTCTCACTAAATTCACCACTAATTCACAGCAAATCATCAATTCATTCACACATTCGATGTTAAATACGATTATAATTAACTATCGATTCATTCACATAAACATCGATTCACTGCAACATATCGTTCGGCAATCGTTTGAATGAAACACAACTCATAAATAGCATAACGTGTGAGAAGGGAATGAATTGCAAATAATTGCAGTCATATAACACACAAATGTGTGGAGAGGGGTGTGTGAGGGACACAACGAACTGGACATATGTAACGACTTCTATGAACCATGAATTGAGTGAACTCTACGGGCATTGATTTGGCGCTAAAACGAGTCGTTTGTTTTGAATTGTGTTTTGTTTTCATTTGTTGTAATTATTTGATTGAATTGTCATTTGATTGCAATTCTGAGTGGAAATGCGTTTCTTTCGGTTCGTAATTCCCATCAAATTAGAGGATTTGAGTCAATCTGACGGTCACTTCGATGTCTATTCCGTGCAATTGGAGTACAACTGCCGCGAGATCTCCCATAAGCTCAACGGTATGTCTGTTGCCATCCATTTGCCACTCAATTGACGCGTTGTTTGCCTCCCGAAGACTGTTCCGATCTGTTCCGCGCGAATGGCATTCACTTTATCCTCGAAGACAATAACTTCGATGTCTTCTACAGTTGTCTGAAGTATGTATTGGTCTTATGAACTGATGGTACGAATGACTGATTGACTGCTTGTATGGATCTCCAGAAACTTCGGCCAATTGGAGGCCAAACATAGGGAGCAGTCGTGGAAACTGATCGCCAAATGCATGGATAAGTTGTACACAGATTTGGAGGCATTCGTGAACCGTTTGGAGGCCGAAGAGCGCAACAATTACTGCAATCTCTTAAAAATGATTGTTTATGTCTTTTGCACTCTGAGTGAACTCTTCGAGGAACAGGACATCAAACAGTCGGCCAATCGTTTGGACGGCGAGAACGCCGGCAAAAAGGCTCACAAGAAGAGCAAACGCACCGAAGAGTCCTACGATTGGCAGCACAACAAAGACAAAGGGATGAGTGTTTTGCTGCGAATGCTTTCACTGCCATTACATCGGGTCTTCAACCCTCCCATCGTTGAGGACGAGTTCGTTAAGTATGTGTTCATTGGATCCACTCATTGGTCACGTAATCATCACATGTTTTCTGTCTATTTTTAGTGTTATAACGAAGTGTTGTTATAAAATGATTGAAAACCCATTGCTTTCGCGACAAAAAGAGTCGAGTTTTGCGTTAAATATATTTCATATCATCGGAACCTCTATTGAAAAATATCGGCAAAGTTTGAGTTAGTATTCACTGTTTGACACAAATGTTTGACTTGTTTTCAGTTGTACTGATAATTGTATTTCATTGCCAAAGGTTTTTGTCTGAAATTAATTCAATTGATTCAACATAAGGAGCAATTGGTGCCCATATTAGCCGTTTTGGTCGAAACAATCGTTAAGAAACATAACCAAAAACTATTGATCAGTGAAATCATACGTGAAATCAAGAGAATAGACATCAAAGAGTTGTCGAGAGACTCGAGCGCTCCGCGAGCTATCTCTACATTTCTGGTCGAAGTGTCCGATAAGTGTACGCAAGAGATGTTGCCATCGATTAGTGATTTGTTGGACTTTCTCGAAGAGGAGTCATATCTGATGCGAAACGCAATCCTTAGTATTATTGGGAATCTAGTCATCAAAGAGTTGAGTAAAGACGGCGCTAAAGAGCGTCATCTTAGGGACGAATTGCTCGACAAACTCGAGGACCACATCCACGACACGAACAGTTATACCAGAAGTCGAGCGCTCAATGTTTGGTGTACTCTATGTCAGGCAGAAGTTATACCTCTTCCACGACTCGAGACATTAATCGAAGCCGTCATCGGAAGACTTCGCGACAAATCGTGTTTTGTTCGCAAATATGGCATTCAGTTCTTGAATCAGTTCTTAACTAAGAATCCATTCGCCGCCAAACTTCCCATTCATTTGCTTAAGACTTACCATCAGAAGGAAGAGGAAAAACTGAAAGCATTGATGACTTTAGCCGAAGAGAATGCCTCCGAACAGCCAATGGGTGATGAAAGGGTTGACAAAGATTTACAACAATTGATAAACACTTGGAATTCAATTGAATCGGAATTTATTGAGTTTTGGAAAGAAATCGAAAGGACTTCTGATGCGAGTTATGACGAAGAAGACGATCAGATTGAAAACCAGACAATTGTTTCCAATTGTGATGACATCGATGTTGTGTTTCACAGATTCCGTACTCTTATTACGGACAAGAAGTTCAAGAGTGCCCTCTCTTTGCTTAAGAAACTTAAGGACGAGTTTCCGGACAATGAGATCATTACACCGACAGAAGTGGAGGCCATGGATGACAACGAGGATAATGATAATGACAGGACAATAGAGGGTGACGACGAAGACGTGCCTAATGGACACACAAATACAGAGTATGTCGTGAACTGTTTGTATTGATCAGAGTTTTAATTGTTATAATCTATTAGTGATGGCCCACACGATCCTCCGCTTCCAGAGACCATAGCTTTGGCTAAAAGAATATTTCTCGGTATTAGTCGTCAATAAAGTGTTGATTAGATATAATTGATAATAATTTGATGTGTTTTACAGCCAATGCAACCAATGCTGACAAATCGGCACTCGATTTGGGCTCAAAGACTGTTGAGAGAGACATTGAAAAGATAGCGACTGTTTTGATACAAAATAGTCAACAGAACGACAACACTGAAGAGTCTGAGCCCAGACCCCGGACTACCACTATAGAAGTGGCCAGACTTTCGACAGGCGCCGACTCAATGGTCAATGACATCAGTCGACAACAGATTCTCGTCAAGTATTTGAGTGATTGCATCAAATTCACGGAACAAATTCAGATCGCAATCCCATTGGTGTCCGACCTGTTGTTGTCACGCTATGGATCGGACATTCAAGAAGCCATTGAGTTCTTCGTGTCGGCCTATAAGTTCGGAGTGACGGATGCCATCAGTGGTGTGCGAAAACTCATTCTTCTGGTTTGGTCTCAAGAAAAGTCCAACAAAGACGCCGCCGTTTCTGCCTATAAACGCATTTATTTAGACTTCGAGAGCGACGCTAGACTTGCGGACGCGTCCGAGAAAGTGAAGGCCTTTTCGGTGATTAAGAGTCTCTCGGAGTTAGTAATGGGCGCCACTTTAGGCGAACTCATCTCTATTGAACAGTTGCTCAAAGAGTTGATGGACGCCAAGGATATCCATCAGATCCACATTCAGGTGCTATGGGAACGGTTTGCCATGAAGTTATCGAATACCACTCCAGAGGAGAGTAGAGCTGCCATTCAGTTGATTGGAATGTTGGCCACATCTAATGCAGAGCTCATCCGATCGGATAAGAACTTGAATGCAATCATAACCGAGGGTTTGGGTGAAAGGGGTCGCAAAGACTCGCGACTTGTGAGTGAAACGTGTGTTGCTTTAGGGAAAGCCTATCGAATACCAAAGACAGATAGCGGCGACTTCTTCTTTCGTTTGCCCAAAAATCACGAACTTTTCACTCATTTGCGTTCTCTTCTGATCAATGGTTTGGATAACTTGTCGGACAACTACTACGACATGATGTCCGACAATATAATTAAAGTGATGTTTCAATTGGCAGAACATCCCGACTCTCTGAGCGAGCATTTGATTAAAGATCTACTGCTGAAGATATTATCGTTGACTCAAAGCGAAGAACTAACGAATGAAATGCAAACCATTTCTTTAGACCAACAAAACAAAGAGAATTGCGAACAAATGCAAAGTCAGGACACTATTGAAGCGGACGTACAGTCGACTGTTTCGTCGCAACAAACCACTGAACAATTGGTTTCGCAAACCATTCACACCTCTCGTCTCCTGAACTCTGAAATTCTGTCCCGTTTTATATCAATCATCGGAAACATTGCTCTCAATGTCTTGATTCACATCGATTTGAATATTTTGACTGAACTTAAGATAAGAAACTATATTAAGGAAGAAAAGGATAAGAAAAAAGATAAGACGCCCCGAAGGAAGTCCAGAACACCCGGTAAGACACCGGGAACTGTAGCCGGAGACCAGAACCTGGAAGAGGAGATAGGACTGGCCGGCGCTAATGCCATGGAAGACCAGGAACAGGAATATCTGAATAATATCTGCAATAATGAGCTCGTTTTTGGTATGTGTTGTTGTGTTAAAGTAAGTGATTAACTGAATAACTGATTGCATGCTCACTGGTCAGGCAATAACGTGTTGGCGCGTCTGAGCGAACTGGTGGTGAACATAGCACAGGATCGGGTGCTCTACTCAGACGTAAAGCTGCGAACCGCTGCGAGTCTTACATTAGCTAAATACATGTGTCTGAGTGAGAACTTCTGTCGCTTGCATTTAAGACTTTTGGCCACAATTATGGATAAGTCCGATGAAGCGGTCATTCGCGCCAATTCTATCATAGCTATGGGCGACCTTTGCGTCCGATTCCCAAACATTTTAGACCAGTGGTCGGCGTTCATGTTTCAACGACTACGCGATACCGATGTCAACGTCAAAATGAATACATTGAAAGTGTTGTCGCGACTCATCCTCACAGATATGGTCAAAGTGAAGGGTCAGATCAGTGAGATGGCTGTCCTTATGGTCGACAGCAATGACCAACTCTTCTCGCACTCCAGACTATTCTTCACGGAATTGGGTAAAAAACAGAATGCCATTTACAACGTATTGCCTGATATTATCAGTCATTTGTCGGACACTGAGAACGGTTTATCGGAACCAAAGTTCCAGGAAGTCATGAAATTTATATTTGATTTGATCGAAAAGGACAGACAAACCGTATGTCTGGTCGAGAAGTTATGCCAACGATTCCGGTCCACAACGTAAGACTCATTTCAGCGTTTTTTTATTGCAAACTTAATTTAAACTCAATTGTAATGTTTGTATCAATTGATTGCCAACAGAGATGAGCGTCAGTGGAGAGATTTGGCGTATTGTCTCAGTTTATTGAACTTTTCTGAGCGATCTTTCCTGAAATTAAACGAAAATCTCATTTGTTTCGCGGATAAGCTGTGCTGTGATTTCGTCCACAATTGCATTCAAATTATTATAGCGAACGTCCGAAAGATAGCGAACGCCAAGAATGAGACCAAACAACTGATCGATGAGTTCGAGCAGAAGGTGAACGAGTGTTGCACTAAAGGCGTCAACGAAGACGACTCCGAGTACCAGAAAGTGGTGGGAACGCCACCCTCGGCCGCCAAACGCCAGTCCAAACTGCACTCCACTTCCAAACTGCACTCCACTTCGAAACGCGCCGTAATGTCATCCAAGCGGAAGGGCACGCAACCCAATAAGTCGAAGAGGAAAGCCGTCTCCAAGGGCTCCGAAGAGGAGGACACCGACGATGAGGTTTCGTCGAACAAACGCGTGGCCTCTGGATCTCAGCGCAAAGAACGGCCTCAAAGGGGCGCTAAAAAACAACTTCCAATCATATCATCCGATGAGGAGGACAGCTCTTCATAACCATTTTGGACACACTTTTATTAAGAATTTATTAACTTAAACACATTTGACACACAGTTATGTAGCCATTCATCTCTTTATTAAACTATTCGTACATTTATTTCATAAAATTCTCATCAATTTTTAGCCATTATTCTCACTCTTGTTGTAAACACTCATACAAATCATTCAAAATTAAACCCATTAGTCATAAGACCAATGAATGTGTGCTACAATTGTATTGTTTATTACGGTATAATCGTGAACATGAGATACCATTGATTACTAAAATCCCATTACTATTACATGACATCCACTGGAATTGATTAATGGCTTATAAAATAGATTTAAAGCCTAATTCAAGACAAACAACAAATGGGTGTATATTATATTGTATTGAAACGAGACAACAGTATTGGGGGGAAAGGGTGGTACGGTTCCAATGGATGTGTTGCACATATAGCTAAACTACGATTAAAATGGAATCACCGGTAAGTCATTCATCCCTATTTCGGCGCTTAAAGACATTGAGTGAAAGGGACTGAAGGGGACTCTTATTTCCATTTTACGGTTACAGTACTCTCAGAACCAATATGTGAACCAATTTCGAGTCAACTTTTCGAGTGAGAATGCAAACGATATATAAAATCCAAAACAAAACCATTAATAAAGCAATAAAACCGGGAAAAGTATTAATTGACTCAATAGAGAACCGGGTGTTTGTTTTACACAATGTCTTTCTCTTTGCTTAGACTTATCATAATATCGATTAAAATACACTGTAATATGTTTATAATTGTATAGTTTACGATTGATTACTAAATATAAAATTCTTGTTTTTTAAATATCTCTGAAAATTAATTAATTAATTCTATACTAAGTTTAGGAACAAAATTGAAAAGAAACTAAAGACGAGTAGAGAATAGAGAGAATTTCGATTCAAATTGAGTTAATTGTGAGGATTTCTGAACTTCTTGCCGGCATAGACAGCATTGGCGCCCAATTCCTCCTCGATTCGCAATATCTGATTATATTTGGCTAACCGTTCCGAACGACAGGGCGCACCCGTCTTGATCTGACCCGTCGACAGACCCACCACTAGATCACCGATAAACGAGTCCTCCGTCTCACCACTTCTGTGCGAAACCATAGTTCCCCAGCCGTTAGCTTTGGCCAAATTGTGGGCAGCGATGGATTCCGTGACACTTCCGATTTGATTCACTTTCAACAGAAGACAATTACACGCCTTCTTCTCAACAGCCGTCTGAATGCGTTTCGGGTTCGTAACCGTCAGATCATCGCTAAAAGTAGAAAATCATGTCATTAGGAAATATATTGTTTGCAAAAATAGCGTCAAATACCCGACGATCTGGATCTGTGTGTTGGCCGTCAGCTTAGTCCAGGCGTCCCAATCGTCCTGATCGAAGGGGTCCTCAATAGACACCATTGGGTTCTCTTTAATGAACTCCTGATACAGATTTCCCAACTCATCGGATGAGATCCATTTGGATTTGTCTGAATTGGGATTTTTGAAGTCGAGATCGTATTTGCCGTCTTTGAAGAACTCACTGGCGGCCACATCCATACCGATCTCTATCTTTCCCGCATAACCGGCCAAATCGATGGCCTTTCGGATGAGCACCAGTGCGTCCTTATTGTTGAGAATGTTGGGCGCAAAGCCTCCCTCATCGCCGACAGCCGTCGCGTCCAAACCGAAGTCCTTCTTAATAACGTTCTTCAAGTTATGGTAGACTTCTGTTCCCATTTTCATGGCTTCCGTGAAAGAGGAGGCGCCGGTGGGGAGGATCATGAACTCCTGCATCGCTAGCTTATTGCCGGCGTGAGAGCCGCCGTTAATCACATTAAATGCCGGCACCGGGAGAATGATCTTCTTATTGCCCGACAAGTCTGCGATGTGTTGATAGAGAGGGACACCCTTTTTGGCGGCGCCCGCCTTACACACGGCCAGCGATACGCCGAGTATGGCGTTGGCGCCCAACCTCTTCTTGTTGGCGTCGCCGTCCAATTGGATCATAAAGTCGTCGATTTCTTTTTGGTTCGTTTCGTCAAAGTTCTGAACATTGGATTCAATCATTAATTTAGTGTCCATTCAATGGTTTCATGTAATCATTACTTTAGCGATAACTTTTGGTCCGATCTCTGAATTAATGTTATTAACGGCAGTGAAGACGGATTTGCCCATATATTGGGTCTTATCGTTGTCTCGCAGTTCCAGTGCCTCGTAGATGCCGGTCGACGCACCACTCGGTACGGCAGCTCTGAATAGACCTAATCATTGCATTTCACGTAAATGTTACTGTATTTCAATCATTATTTCATCACTATCAGCACCGGTCGAAAAGCTCAGGTACTAATAATAATTCATTGTCAAAATGGTTAAACCTATAATTATCTTTAATTTCCTTAAAATATCATTTAATACTAATTGCGGTTATTTTCTAACAAATAACGGGATGTTCACTAAATAACTGTTCAATATTTCCTCAAAAGTATTGTATGATTAAAAAATTCATATAAAAGGGACTAAAGTGTACTATATATTAAAGTATAAAAATGTCTTAGATAATGGCAATCAGCAATGTTGTAAAGCCGGTGATGAGGTACAAACTCGAGCACCGGTAGCTTAATCGCTAGACTACTTTATCGCACAGTCTGTAATTGATAACTCTATTGTAAATTATTAGACTAATATAATCAATTGAAATTTGTAATTTTAAGCACTGGTATTATTAAATGGGATATAATTTTTATAATCTCTAAACTATATTCATGATTGCAATTGAGGTTAAACTATGGATTAACTGCATTATAAAGTATATAAAAATCAAAATCACAATTCAGTTATGACTAAAAACATGAAAGTCATGAGAAAAGGGAGGATATGTTGCAAGTGGTGAATGCATACCATTATCGGTGGTCAGATCGACCTCAACGGTCGGATTTCCTCGACTGTCGAATATCTGTCGCGCTTTGATTGTCTTAATCGGCATTTTGTGGACAATTGAACGGATCTGTTGAACGACAAGAGTGTGTGAAAAGGGATTACTTTCGCAAACGTTCACTCTATGAATGACTGAATGCTAACACGGATTGCATAACATATTCAATGTATGACTCCTTTCACCCAATGCTTGACTTTGACCTACAAATGAAGGACTCATTTCAAGGTCAACACATCCCTACCCTCCCTGTCCACCGACCATACAATCCGTTGTAAGCATTGTGTCAATCATTTCATGAGCACACCATCGATGACTGGATCAGATGATGGCACAGACACTCACCCAAGAGATTGCAATTAATTTGTCACTCAATTTGAATGAAGGAAAAGGTTTGACTGAAAAGTATAGCACAGAAACACATACAGAGAGACACACAGAGAGAGAGAGAGAGAGAGAGGGGGAGAGAGAGGGGGGGAGAGGGGAGACAGAGGAGCACACAAATGACGACAATTCACTCAACCCTCCCCTCCAATCGAAACGTTGTTTATTCATAAGATATAAAATTATTAAATCTAATGTTTGGGAAATGTTGCCAAAACTGATCTATAATTTAATATGAAATAAATTGGGGAAAATTGGAGTTTCGGAAACTTTTCTATATAACCTAATTACTATCGAACCCTTATTTGCATATTAAAGTGAGGTTTTTGTTTGAGTTTTGAAAGAAAGAGAGAAAATGTAAACAATTAGTCAAATGACTCGACAGTGAAGTGAAGTGTCTGTGAATGCATCGACTGTTTTGGCACTCATTTGGTTTGCAATCAATTGTATTATTTGTGCAAAACTTGTCAAACAAGTCAATCACATCACCGGTGATATGAATGCGGGCAAAGGGATGGCAGCGAAGGGCACCGACCACTGGACGAGTCCTACTCTTGTGGTAATTGTTTTGATTAAAAAAATTCATGACGAAGACATGAGCGAAGACATTGTCTGTCTGACAGATCCGGTCGTTTGGTCCAAAGCTGGTGCCCTTCTTCAAGACAGTCGCCATTTATCTGGTTTTGGCGGATCGGGAGAGCCCTTCATGGCTCACATGTCTCCTCAAATGTCTGCCCATCATATGGCTCTGCATTTTCGTAGTGCTTCACGGCATCAGTTTGGGTGACAAACACGTCTACTCCCGAAGAATACTAATGGGTTTAGTGCTGTCCTGTTGTGGGGACGCACTCCTCGTTTGGCCCAAATGTTTCTTATGGGGAATGTTGTCCTTCGCACTGGTAGTCCACTCCCTGTCCTCACCGTATCCTTATGTCTCATCAATCTATCACTTGACCACTCATTTAGGCCCACATCTCATACATCACTGCATTTGGTTTCTATCCGTTTAATGTGAGCGCCGGTGCTCTCTGTGCGCTATTGGGAGCTGTCGTTCACTACATAATGTATCCCAACCTTCAAGGTATTCAAATCGGTGTCATTTAACACATATTTAAGACGTGATGTGAATGCACTCGTTTAGGGACAGTATATAGTGTAGCGGTTCCCACGTATAACCTCCTGCTGCTGGTGATGGTGTGGAGGGCGGTGTCGAGAGTACAGCTGTTTGAAGACCTGTGGACGTGGACTAAGTTGTGCTCGTGTTTTGGTGGCATTTTGTTCGCCATTTCAGACACAGTGTTAGGTCTGCGAGAGTTCGGTCTAATCAGTCATCTGGTGTCCCAACAACAGTGCCAACTGCTTGTGATGATCACCTATTATGCGGCGCAGTTCGGCATCGCTTTGTCTGTGGTCGACACCACTGCCATCGAGAGCATCAACAGTGCTAACGGTGCCAAACGGAGGGTCGACACTTCCAAAGAGAAACGACGTTAGAGTCAACCAATCAAATGAAGAGACTATTGATCCAAAATCGGTACCCATTTGTTTGTCAATGCATTCAAAACACATTCCCATTTGATGTCAAATTAGACAATAAGACAACTTTGCATTCCTTTCAGTATTTTATCATTTTTGTGCCAATTATTCAATTGTATTACAGTATTAATTGTGATCTGATTTCTAAGTAATAGTAATCTTTAGTTATTTTTATTTACCGGTTAATGATTATAATTTCAATAAATTAAATGTCTTTCGAAATGTCAGTTATTTACTGTTATGAGTGAATACATAAAACATATAAACATTAGAAAACATGATTGAAAAGAATGGATACATTCATAGAAATTGTGGTGATTTGTAAAGACTTGATCTGCGGTTAGGAATAATCCCTTTACGTCTTAGCCGTCGCACGGCTTCTCTCATGTGTTTGGGCTGAAGAGGTCCTGTTTCGCCGTTTTGCTCCATCACATCAAGACCTATGAGTTCATCACATTTGTTATAATCACATCACATAATGACATCATTATAGCCATCACTACCTTCTTCGACAACTTCTCCAACGAATACTTTGGCGATTCCCGAGACAGCGATCACTACGTTCTGAGACACTGAACATCCAGTGATTGATTGCATCAACTGTTCCAACAAATTGTCATTTGAGTGCAAAGTTGAACACAAGTTATCACTACATGTATACCCTCTTTATGGCTGCCTTTGGAAACGCAGATCTCCTGAACATTTCGTATCGATTGAGCTGTTCTTCCGAGAAGTTGGACACAAGAACTCTGTTGACAAACAATGAGTCCATTAAATGTGTGACACAACAAGTGGTCAACAAATGAATAATTACTGCATTTTCTCCCTCTCTTCCTCCTCAGCCTTTTGCTTCAATTGGTCCGCTTTCAGCATATCCTCCCTCTCCTGCTCTTTGTTACCCTCTTTGGTCTCATTCTTCGACTTATTCAGTGTGTCTTTACTCGTTTGGCTGGAGTTCATCGATGAGTCCATCTTGTCTTCGCTGCAGACACTGTTGTCCTCATTGGAGTCGTTGTGGACATCACTGGTGTCATCGTTGGTGTCCTCCATGTCCTCCAATTTGCTGTGTTTTGCCATTTTCGACACTTCCGGCAATTTAATGGTCAAAATGGGTTCACTTGATTCGCCCTTCGCTTCCATGTCTTCACGGAGTCTATGGTTTGGATGAAATGAATGCACAGACAATGTGTTTGCCGTCAAAAGCAGTCATTCATAGGATTCACACAAATGAGTGCAACATTTGCTGCCAAATGCGTCCAAAACACTGAATTTGTGGTCACTTTCGCACTATTCGTGTCACTATTGGTGTCAACACTTAGTGTTGTGTTTGTTATCGACTCTCATGTAAAATGTCACTCAAAGACCCCTCCGTTTCGTAGCGTTATATATGAGAAGCCCTTTGATGTCGTCGTCGACTGTATTTTGAAAACAAAACACTTTTTGATATGATTTTTGTGTTCAGTTTTGTCTCATTTCATGAATAATAACCGATATTTATATCAAACAAATCACTACTTAATCACACAATCAGTGTGTTGTGCATCATCTCAACCAATATATCCCACAATTCATATCATATACCCATTGGATCTGATTCTCAACAAACCGTACCTCAACTCACAATCAATGGTAAGAAGTGTGTCATTCACTGTGAATCCATTGATGGAGATATCAATGGATTCAATGTCTATGAGATGAATGTCTACGCAATTAGTTTAATACTGGATGTGCTCTCATTTGCAGATGAAAGTCATGGCAAGTGTCCATTGAATGCGTTGACAGACACCACAATACACGACAATCTCTGCGAATCTCATTGAAGGCTGCAATCAATCGTTGCATATATTGTCTTACAATCCGTTTTGAGGTAAGCATTGATTTGTTTGAATCATTCATTCAATCATTCATTCAATTAGTATATTGTGTCTCAATGTCTGTCCATAAAAGTGAACCAAATGTGACAAACGGTTCACACATTTGCCATCAACTCGTCAATGAATTGCATGTAATAATGAGTTTACGATTTGCTATACATTTCCATATCTTTATTGAATGAATGATCAAATGATGACATTTTTGTCATGACATGTAAAGTCATTGCCGTTAATGTATGTGTTTTTGTATGATTTAAATGTCAAACAATTGACGGCATTTGAGGCAATAATAGTCTATAACAGCATTTCAATGATCGTATCACGAGTGATATGAGTCTTATTATCTGAATCTGTTTTTTCTCATAATTCGTGTCATTCTTAGACAATGTCTAATCAAACCAATGATAAGTGACTCAAAACTTTGGACAATATTTCTATTGTTATCGTATTTTATATTTACTTTTGCTTTTCTTACGTGTGATTCACTTGTATTTTATGACAAAAGTCTTGAACTATACTTTGAGATACCATTCAACGGATCTAAATATACTTTATATTTCAGTCATAATAAGCGGTATTTTATTATATAAACGTATAAATTATATAGTTATGGACCGCATGATCAATATACTAATTTGGCATACAATTAATCAGCAATTTTATCTCAAAAAATAATGCAAATTACAAAAAACAATACAAAAAAAATTTGTGGTGTTTTCAAAATTCAAAATAATAGCTGTATTTTGAATAAGCGTTTAATTCATAGCCTAAACAAAAATTTTGTATTAAAATTAAAACACATTTTCCATATTTTGTATATAATTACAGGGAACAACAATTATATCAAAACATTTTAAATGAATGATAAAATGTATGATTAAGTTTTTTTATTTTTAGTCAATTTTCATGACCTCTTTTTGATCGCATTATATCAGACTTTGAAAAAAGTTGTGATAAATATTTGGTTTGAAATTATGGTTCGAGTGATGTTTGTATGCCTTATGGCATCTCAATCTGATTTATGGCTTTTACTCAATAACTTGTTTCTGTTTTCAAATTTTCATATCTCATTATTGAAGGAAAAAATCATTGAATTATGGTTTGAAACATCTGTTAGACTGAAGTGAATCGAAATGCAAATTCTGTGTTTTGTTTCTCAACTACACTATTATTAACTCATTTAATACTAATTATTCAGATATAACTCACAGTATCTGAAACTGTAAAACACAGAGAAAGCGATTGTTAAACCAAATTATTATCAATTTAATTGATTCACACTTTTATTAGATGTTTAATTGTTTAGTATGGAAAGCCATTTATGTAACATTGTCTGCATTTTAGGGCTGGCCATCTAATTGCACTGCTATTACAATAATACTATGCTTTTACTTATTGTTGACTTTTATTTAATTATTCACAAAACAATGGTATGAAATGTGATGAAAGACACGCCTCAAGAAGTGGTAGAATATAGCGGTTGTGATCACTATTCGTATTGTTGTACACTATTTCACTATTTCTTATACTGTACTAACTTTGCGTCACATAATGTTTGCTTTTAAATTGACAAACACTCTCGTGTTATCTCTCCCTCCCTCCCTCTCTCTCTCTCTCTCTCTCCCATTGATTGCCTGAGCATTTAAAGCAACAGTCAAACAGTTATACAATTATGTAATAAAGTAGAGAAAAGTGAGAATAGAGTGGAAACTACAGTATGGTATGAATCGGCGGACGTATTAGTGAATAAATATGTGTTAATATAAGTAAGGATTTCGTTGGAAAGCATAGGTTTGGCGATAAGTAACGAATGGTTTGCCATAAATAAAGGGTTTGATGTGTAACCGAATCTATTGATAATAGTGTTGAGTTGCCAAGTGATCCAACACTCATTGCAATCACTTTAACACCAGTACTGAACAGTATTAGTAAATTGAGTTGAGTTTAGGATTTCAATGCAATCGCTTTCGTTTGGTTCACTAATTATTGCTTAACTGTTATGAGCTCTCATTTGATGGTTAACTGCTATCCAATCACAACGTGTTAAACATTTCTATTAATTCAACTAATCATTGAAAATGTGATTAATATTAATATAATTATGAAAAACAGTGTTTATGTGAATCAATGTTTGCGATCATTAATTGATTTAAATTGTAATCGTCTGCTGTTTATAACATTTCCTTTGATTTGTTTCGTTTCAATTCATTCATAACTTGAAACGATTTTTAGCCAATATTTATACAAATTATATATTTTAATATTAATATAAAACTCTATTAACCATTGATTGCTGTAAAATGCGGATTTGGAAATCAAAAACTTCACATAATGTAAGCATTTATTGCAAAACTAATGCTTTAGTTATACCTTTCCTATCAATTGTTACGATTAGAATAGGATTACAAAACATTTTTCCTATGAATACATAATATAAGCCTTGTTTTTATGCTATTTCCACTTATTTATTAACGATATACAGTATGACATTTCTATTGCAAATATAGTATATTTTAATTAATAATTTATCTGAAAATGAATTTCTTTTATTATATTACGTTATACTCATTACCCGTATATTCATATTGAGAACTACTTTCATGTGAAACACATTTTGTTTTCAATCATATTATAATTAAATGTATTCAGAGTTTTGCTATATTCATAGCAATGTTTGATATAATTATAATAATTTGGTGAAACTAATTAATGTAATAAATTATACAAATATTGAGTGAAATTGTTTTTCCTATTTATAAGAATTTTAGAAATATGTCTCTTTTATATCACTTAAACCTATAATTAAAAGAATATTCTTTAGTTTTTAATCATTGTTTTTAAAAATAGCTTGACATGAAGTTATTAAAACAGATTTGGAGTAAATAAACAGATAATACAATAAATTATTTATAATTACAATTTAATTACAATTATTGTTTGGCTGGATTATTATTAGTTGTAATCACGAGAGTTGACTAACACTTGTCCAACAGGTAGTCATTACCTAATAGAGTAGTACCTGTGTTATTGTCTCACTGTTTAAACAGTGTATTTTTTGTATTAATAGACAATTGCAATATTAGGTCGCGTTTCCGATGGACCCACAATTTTCTCGTTATAATTATTCTCGCAATAAAACTATTTTCCAACAATAATTAAAGTTTTATTTAAGAAGTCATTCAATTAATTGTATTTCATTATAAAGTAACAGTCGGATGAAGTTATTAGT